GAAGAGGGGGAAGGAAGGAGGAAGGGGGGAGGAAGGAAGGAGGAAGGAAGAAGGAAGGAGGAAGGGAGGAAGGAAGGAGGAAGGAAGGAGGAAGGGGGAAGGAAGGAGGAAGGAGGAAGGAGGAAGGGGGAAGGAGGAAGGGGGAAGGAAGAGGAAGGAAGGAAGGAAGGAAGGAAGGAAGGAAGGGGGAGGGAGGAAGGAAGAGATGGAAAAAGGAACAAATCATGAGACAATAAGGCAACACTGGTGACTAATTAAACAGGACCTTGAAAACTCATCTTGCTCGGTGCTCTTTATGCAACAGATCTCCCAGTAAACCTCTGTGCAAATGGGTGAAGAGTTCTGCCTTGAATCTGTTGTATAAAGCCTCTGCTTGGTTCGGGCAAACACTGTCACCCAGGGGACAGATTTATTCATTCATTCAACTAAAATTTATGGAACATCTACCTTGTACCAGGCACTTAGCTTACATACTGAGTAGTTTAATCATAGTTTATCCATTCATTTAACTCATCATATATGCATATATGTACACATATGTATGTATGTGACCTACTATATGTTAGGTGTAATGACAGGCTGTGAGGAATGTGAAAACCATGAGACAGGTTCTTGAGGACTTCGTGTCCTATGAAGGGGAAGTATTACATCAACAGATGGAGTATAAAAGGTGTTAGATGTTAAGCCGGGCATGGTGGCGCACGCCTTTAATCCCAGCACTTGGGAGGCAGAGGCAGGTGGATCTCTGTGAGTTCAAGGCCAGCCTAGTCTACATAGTGAGTTCCAGGACAGCTGGGGCTACAGGGAGACCCTGTCTCAAAAAGACCAAAAAAAAAAAAAAAAAAAAAAAGGTGTTAGATGTACTAGAGCAGGGGCTGGGGTGATGGTGCAGTTGGTAAAATGCTTGCTGTGTAAGCAGGAGGACCTGAGTTCAGATCCCTAACACTTGTTGAAAAGGCCAGGCACAGCAGCAGCACAGCCCCGTAATCCCAGTGCTAGGGAGGCAGAGACAGGAAGATCCCCAGGGCTTGCTGGCCAGCTGGTGTAGCCAATCAGTGAGCTCCAGGTTCACTGAGAGACCTTGTCTCAAAAATGAGATAGAGTAGCCAGGTGTGGTAATACATGCCTTCATGCCTTTAATCCCAGCACTCAGGGGGCTGGTGTATCTCTGTGAGTTCGAGGCCAGCCTGGTCTACACAGAGAGTTCTAGGCCAGCCTGAGGCTACAGGGAGACCCAGTCTCAAAAAGACCAAAAACATTTTTCTTCTTGGAGAGAGAGAGAGAGAGAGAGAGAGAGAGAGAGAGAGAGAATGAGAGAGAAGATTGAGGAAGACACTGATGTCAACCTCAGGCTTCCACGTACATACATGAAAACACATACAAACACACACATGAGTACTAGGAAGCAAAGAACATGGAAAAGTGACAGCAGAGGATCTGCTTGACTGACTGGCCAGGAAAGTCCTCCTTAAGGAGGCACTATTTAAACCAAAAGCCTTCCAGCCTTTCAAAAGTGAGACGATTCCCTGCTTGGTGGTACATGTCTGTAATTCCAGCACTCAGGAGGCTGAGGCAGAAGGATTGAGAATTCAAGACCAGCCTGGGCTATATAGCCAGACTCTATCTTTAAAAATTAAATAATTAAATGAAAATTCAGCCCAGGAATGTGTAGAAAGTGGATCCAAGAGGTTAAGTGTGAGGGTGCTTCCTGCCACTTGTCCCTTGGTGGCCTGGGCAGGGATGAAGATGGAGAGAAAGAAGAGGTGAAATGGACTCCCAGACTTATGGAAGGGAAATGCTGCAGGTGGAGACGCAGGGCTAATGTCCAGGCTGAGGGAAATCCAGGGGCATTTCATGAATTTATGAACAGACCTCTAGGTTTCAGGTACAGTGAGGCAAACAGAGTTGATCCAACCTGACCTAGCTTCAGAAGTAGACCTATTGCTGATTACTTCCTGTTGGCAATTTCCTGAGTGTCAGGGGCACTGGGCTCTGGAAACAGCATACCATGCCTTTTGCTCATCTCTTCCTCCTCTCCTTTCTCCTTTTCCTCCTCCCCCCTCCTTCCTCTTCTTTCTTTTCCTCCTCTCCTCCGATTTATTTTTGTGAGATAGGGTATCATATACCCCAGGCTGGCCTCAAACTCACCATGTGCTCAAGGATAACCATGAATTCTAGATCCTCCTGGGATTACAGGCATCCAGTACCACACTCAGTTTATGTAGTGCTGGGGATGGAAACCAGGCTTTGTGCATGCTAAGTAAGCACTCTACCAATCGAGCCACATCCCTAGATCTTTTCTTTCTTTCTTTCTTTCTTTCTTTCTTTCTTTCTTTCTTTCTTTCTTTCTTTCTTTCTTCTTTCTTCCTTTCTTTCTTTTTTTAATGGGATAGGGAGAGAATAGGATCTCATATAACTCAGGCAAGCCTTGAACTTGCTTTGTAACCTTAAACTTCTGATCCTCCTGCCTCAGCCTCCTCAGTGCTAGGATCACAGGTATGCACCACCATACCTGCCATCTCCTTCATTTTAACTTAATTACATTAAATTTATTTGGTTTTTCAGTGCTGAGGTTGGAACCTAGGGCTTCAGATATGCTAAGTAGTGCTCTACAACTGGGCTACACTCTCAACCCTCTCCATTTTAGTGGCTGAGTACTCTACTGTAGACTATGGCCTGATTTATTTAACTACTCAACTGATAAACAGCTAGGTCAAAATGCTGGTATTGCAATGATGCTAGAACAAATAGCCTTATATATGAGCTATTTATGGCTATGTAATAGATTCCTTCAAACTCTACCAATGTAAAACAACAAACAGTATTGATCCACAGTTTCTATAGTCAGGGAGAGGGGTCCAGTTGGACTGGGTCTGCTTCTCCGGCTCAAGGTCTCTGCCAGAGCTGTGATCAATCGAAATGCTGGCTAAGGGTAGGGTTTCTCCTGAGGTTTGAGTAGGGGTGGGGCTGCTTTCAAACTCAAGTGATGGTTGGCAGAATTTGGTTCTTGTGTGCTATTGAACTAAAAGCCCAGGTCTTCCCTGGCTGTTGGCTAGAGAATGTACTCAGCTCCTCAACCCAGAGACCTTTCCACTGGGCAGCTCTCACAGGGTGGCAGCTGGCTTCTCTTACAGTGAAAGTTGAGGAGCGAGCCAGGCATGGTGGTGCACACCTTTAATCCCAGCACTTGGGAGGCAAAAGCAGGAGGATCTCTGTGAGTTCAAGGCCAGCCTGGTCTACATTGTAAGTTTCTGGCCAGCTGGGGCTACAGGGAAACTCTGTCTCAAAAAGATTCCCCCCCGAAAAAAAAGAAAGTTGAAGGGGTGAGCAAGGTAAAAGTCAGCCTTTATGTAATTTCATCTCAGAGAAAACAGCCCAGCTGGCACAATGGTGCACCCCTGTCATCCCAGTACTCAGAAGGCTGAGGCAGGAGAATTGGTAGGAGTTAGAGGTTGGTCTAGGTTACATAGCAAGACCCTGTCTCAAAAAGTTTAAGAAAGCCAGGTGCAGTGGTGCCTTTAATCCCAGCACTTAGGAGGCAGAGGTAGGTCGCTCTCTGAGATGGAGGCCAGCCTGATCCATATAGTGAGTTTCAGGCCAGCTGGGGCTGCAGGGAGACTCTGTCTCAAAAAAAAAAAAAAAAAAAAAAAAAAAAGCTTAAGAAAAACATTATTTTTATTTTTAAGACTTTGTTCCCCAGTTCTTTATACAAAAAAAAAAAACTTAAAATATTTTATGTATAAGTGTTTTGCCTGAATGGGTGCTAAAGTAGACCATGTGTGTGCAATGCCAGCAGAGGCCAGAAGAAGGTGTCCAATCCCCTGGAACTGGAGTAATTGAACCCAGGTCCTCAGCAAGAGCAGCCAGTGCTCTTAACTGCTGACCCATCTCTCCAGCCCCTAGTTTTTATTTCTTCAAAAAATTTCAATTGGGGCATGGTGGCACACACCTTTAATCCCAGCACTCAGGAGGCAGCAACAGGCAGATCTCCGAGTTCAAGGGTTTCAGGTCAGCCAGAGCTATGCAGTAAAACCCTGTCTTTAAAAGAAAAACAAAACAAAAAGCTGAGAGCTGGAGAGATGGCTCAGCTGTTAAGAGTGCATATGGCGCTGGGCGTGGTGTACCATGCCTGTAGTTCCAGCACTTGTGAGGCAGAGGCAGGTGGATCTCTGAGTTCCAGGCCAGCTGGGAGACCCTGTTTCAAAAAGACCAAACAAGGGGTTGGGGATTTAGCTCAGTGGTAGAGCGTAGAAAGTGCAAGGCCCTAGGTTCAGTCCTCAGCTCTGGGAAAGAAAAAAAAAAAAAAAGACCAAACAAACAAATAAACACAAAGAGTGCATATGGCTCTTGCAAAGAACCCAAGTTTGGTCCCCAGCACCCATGTCAGGCAGCTCACAACCACCTATAACTCCATTTACAGGGGAATCTGACACCCTCTTCTGACCTCCACGAGCATTGCAAGACACAGGTGCACTTACATACATGCAAGCAATACACTCATACACATAAAATAAAAATAATAAAAATAAATGTTTTTAAAAATCTGCAGGTTGCTGGGTGAGGTGGTGCACGCCTTTAATCCCAGCACTTGGGAGGCAGAGGCAGGTGGATCTTTGTGAGTTGGAGGCCAGCCTGGTCTACATAGTGAGTTCCAGGACAGCTGGAGCTACAGGGAGACCCTGACTCAAAAAGATAAAAAAAAAAAGAAAGAAAGAAAGAAAGAAAGAAAGAAAGAAAGAAAGAAAGAAAGAAAATCTGCAGGTTGAGAACGTAGCTCAGTGTTGGAGCCTCGCCCCCCCTCCACACACACATACACCTATTCATTTTAGTGGATTCCTAGGGCCAATGCCCTTCTGGTAGGCATCAAGGAGGAAGACAGCAGTCAGGGAGACCCCAGACAGAGCCAGCCAGGACTGATTAGAACTTGCTGTGTTTTCTTGCAGCGGGGGCTACTGCGCACAGCATCAGCACTCGGGCGGTGTGGCAGTTCCGCAACATGATCAAGTGTGCGATCCCCGGGAGTAAGCCTTACCTAGAGTATAATAACTATGGCTGCTACTGTGGCTTGGGAGGCTCAGGCACCCCTGTGGACGATTTGGACAGGTAAATGTGGACCATCGGAGGGAGACTGGAATCTGTGTTGGGGTGGGGGCAGGGCACAAGCCCAGCGTCTCACAGGGCATGGAAAAGGGACTGCATAGTCATTAAGCGTTATATATTTTCACTTTTAGTCTTTTAAAGAAATCTGCTCCAAAAGGACCCTGTATCCGGTGGTCCCTAAAAAAGAACACCTGGGGGTTGGGGATTTAGCTCAGTGGTAGAGCGTAGCAAGGTCCTGGGTTCGGTCCTCAGCTCTGAAGGGGGGGGCGGGGACCTGCTGTGTTAAACAGTGGACGATGCTGCCCTCTGATGATAGAATAGGGCATCACCAACTATCACAGCCACAACTAAAGTGTCATCCATCAATCTTGTTCTAAAAAGTGTCACTGCATTCTCGGAATATATAACTTGACTGCATTCCTGCAACCATGTTAAAGATCACTCTCTATACATATGTGATAATGGAGAGGTCAGTGTTTCAAGCCATAAGTCTAATTCTTTCAGAGCATCTTGTTTAAGGCATCCTGCCTGTTTGTGAAAGACAAGGAGGTGAGGGCTGACCTACTGTTGGTCCATGCTCCTCCCGCAGCTGTTCCTTCCCCTTTCCAGGTGCTGCCAGACTCATGACAACTGCTACACCCAGGCCAAGAAACTAGACAGCTGTAAATTCCTTCTGGACAACCCCTATACCAACACCTACTCATTCACGTGCTCTGACAATGAGATCACCTGCAGCAGTAAGTTTACTCTTCTTTTACCTCTGGGTTCTAGTTGGTCCTCAGTGAGCTTGGTGAGAGGACAATCACAATAAGTCACCATTTACTGATCATTTTCTTGGTCTCATTTGACCTCATAACAATCCTCTGAGATGGGTACAAAATCATCCCTATTTGACAGGTGAGGAAACTGATGCTCAGAAGAATGAAATGAGCCACTTGCCCAAGGTCATGTAGTTTACAGTGACAGTGTTTGGTTTGGGAACATGAATCAATATAATTTCAAGACCTCTCTTTATTTAAAAAAATATTTGTATTAGTCACTTTTCTGTTGCTGTGATAGAAACACTGACCCAAGCAATTTATAGAAAGAAGAGTTTATTTGAGCTTACGGTTCCAGGGAAATTACAGTCCGTCATGGCAGGGAGGCATGGTGGCTGGAGGTGGCTGGAGCAGGAGCAGCAGAAGTGAAGCTCTCACATCATCACACAGGCACAGGAAGCAAGAGAACAACTGGAGATCTGGCAAGGCTTAAGAACTCTCTAAGCCCACCCCAGTGATGTGCTTCCTCCAGGATAGCCACACCTTCTAAAACCTCCCAAAACAGCGCCACCATCTGGGGACAAAATGTCCAAACACTTAGAGCCTATGGGGGACATTTTCATTCAAACCACCACAATATTTTTTTAAATTTATTTATTATTTTGGTCTTTTTGAGACAGGGTCTCCCCCCAGCTGGCCTAGAACCTGATATGTAGACCAGGCTGGCCTCAAACTCACAGAGATCTGCCTGCTTCTGCCTCCTGAGTGCTGGGACTAAAGGTATGCACCACCAGTGCCCGGCATTATTATTATTTTTTAATGTGTATGAGTGTATTGACTACATGTATGTAAGAGCGCCTGTGTCATGCAATGCCTGCAGAGGTCAGAAAAGGGTGTCAGATCCCCTGGAACTGGAGTTAAGGATGGTTGTTAGTTGTCATTTGGGTGCTGGAAACCAAACCTGGGTTCTCTGCAAGAGCAGCTAGTGCTCTTAACTGCTGAGCCATCTCTCCAGCCCCTTCAAGGTCTCTTTTTAAAAAAACTTCTACAATTACATATTTATGTGTGTGTGTCTGTATGTATCTGTATGTGTGGAGCATACATATGGAGGTCAGAGGACAACATGCAAGAGTCGGGTCTCTCCTTCCATCATGTGAGTCCTAGTGGTGGAACTAAGGTTGTCAGACTTGGCAACAAGCACCTTTATCCACTGAGCCATCTCAACAGCCCAAAGCCTCTCCTCTTATACAAATTCCATATTTAATAAACACTTGAGTGATATATCACTTATACATATTATATAGTCATTTATTATATGCCAGATACTAGACTAAGCATGCATGCAAGTTTCCTTGTTCCCATTTTATGGTGAGGCGTCTGAGGTTCAAAATAAGTCATTTGTAGGGCTGGGGATGTAGCTCAGTTGGTAGAGTGCTTGCTTGGCATACACAAAGCCTTGGATTAATCCCCAGCACCCATAAATTGAGCATAGTGGTGTCTGTGATTCCAGCACTTGGGAGGTGGAATCAGGAGGATTGCCCAAAATCATAGTTGTATAAGTAATAGTTGATATTTTGGGGTTTCGTTTTTTTGTTTTTAGACAGGGTCTCACTCTGTAGCTCATTGGCCTGGTACATATTATGTAGCCTGGGTTAGCCTCAGCCTCATGAGTGCTGCAATTATAGGCATGCACCATCACTCCAGGCTGCCAGAGTTCTATAAATCTGATGAAATTTAAGGATCCTTTCATCAGCCACATATGTGTGCGCGCACACACACGCACACACACATACACACCCTTGCAATTTCTTTTTAAATTTTTATTTTACATGTATGAGTGTTTTGCCTGCATGTCAGTAAATGTACTCATGTGTGCAATGCCCCCCAGATGCCAGAAGAGGGAATGGGATCCCCTGGAACTGGAGTTATAGATGGTTATTAGCCACCCTGTGGGTGCTGGGAACTGAACTTGGGTCCTCTGCAAGAGCAGTCAGCGATCCTAATCACTGGGCTGTCTCAGTCTCTTGTAATTTCCTTTTAATGCAGTTATTCCTTCCCTTCCAACCAGATCAAGAAGCCTACAATAGGGTATTTGCTCATAATAATCAACATGATAAAGCAAATCTCATTGTGAATAGTTTGTGATATAAGTACTAATTTATACATCAATGGGCAAGAAACACTTTTTTTTGAGACAGGGTCTTACTATGTCCACCTTCAAACTTACAGAGATCCACTTGCCTTTGCTTCCTCACTGGGGCTAAAGGTGTACACTACCATAACCGGCCATTTGTGATTGGGGGTGGGGGGTTGAAAAGGGTCTCACTATATAGCTCTGACTGGCCTGGAACTCACTATGTAGACCAGGCTGGCCTCAGACTCACAGAGATTCACTTGTTCTGTCTCCCATGTATGGGGGTTAAAGGTGTGCATTGCCACACCTGGCCCATTTGTGATTCTTAAAAGGAAACATCAGTGGCTGGAGAAGTGCTGGAATTACAGTTATACATCACACGTTCTATTCCACTGCATTGTCCTTGTTTTTGCAGTACTGGAAATGGAATCTAGGGCCTCTTGTATGCTAGGCAAGTGCTCTACCACTGAGCCATATCCCCAGTCCCCCAGAGTTACCTTTTTGAATGTGTTGTAGTGCTAGGGCTCAAAATCAGTGTTTCACACAGGCTAAGAATATGCTATATCTTCAACCTTTAAATAAATATATATGTATATATATTTATATATATACATATATACATATCAATGTTTTCTATAGAACTTATAACTTTTTGTCTATGTTACCAGAGATCTGTAATTCTATAGGCTGTTAAATCTTTGGGCACATCTCTGATAAAACAGAAAAACTTTTCTAAAGGCTATTTCAAGACTTAGAATCTCCAGATCAAACACAGAATGTCCAGGTGCATTTGACTCTCAGATAAAGAACAAGTAACATTATGTGTATAGTATATGTGTATGTGTGTGTGGAGATCAGAGTTCGACATATGGTGTCTTCATTCACTCTTCTCCACCTTATCTTTGAGAGAGGTCTTTCACCAAACCTGACATTCATTGATTGACTAGACAGCCTGGCCAAGAAGCTCCTGTGATCCATGTTCCCCTCTTCCCATTAGAGTTACAGATGCTCCCAACCACATCTGGCTTTTTACGTGGGGCCTGGGGATCCTAACTCATGTTTGTAGAGCAGGCACTTTACCAACCAGCATCATAACAAGTAACTTTTTAGTATAAGTGTGTTCCAAAGATTTGGCCATCCCAAGATATTTCTGTTTGCTTTGTCCTTCAACCATAAGCCTGCACCAAAAGGATGGATACCAATTCATTCCTCCTGTCCCCTGGATTGTGCAAAGCAGGACCTGGCTTGATTCCTCCTCCTCCTCCTCTTGTCCCTTTACAGGTAAAAACAAAGACTGTGAGGCCTTCATCTGTAACTGTGACCGCGAAGCTGCCATCTGCTTCTCCAAGGTTCCATACAACAAGGAGAATAAAGACATAGACAAAAAGAAATGTTAGACTTCTCACCTCAGTTCCTGCCTAAACACCCTACCTTCCTTGTTATCTTCACCTCACGCCCCTCAATAAAGCACCTTATTGAAAGTCCTCATGTTTGGTAACTGTCGTATCCTCTGAATACAGAATGTAACTAGATCTGTGAATCTCATTCCTTCCAGTCTTGAAAGCTGAAGTTGAATAGGAAAGATATTTCTAGGAAGGGAGACCCCTGAAGTGTAAATGATGATTATCAATCAGTCAATAATTATTGATCTGTTCCAGAACTTCATGTCTCTAAATTCTCTGATAGTCCTATGAGGGATTAGTACTATAAGAAATCTTATTTTTCTGAGATGCAACAGGGCAGGCCACTTGCCCAGGACTGTCAATGGTAACACAGGCTGAGTTGCCTTCATGAGACGGTAGGCTCCAGGTCCTTAGGAGTAAGTTCTTATTCTTCTGTCTCTATTTCCAACCGTCTTAAATCATTTTTCTAGAAATCTTTTGTTGTTGTTGTTGTTCTTTTAAGACAAGTTCTCTCTGTAGCCCTAGCTGGCCTGGATCTCACTATGTAGACCAGGTTGGCCCTTGTAGATCTGCCTGCCTCTGCCTCTGCCTCCCGAGTGCTGGGATTAAAGACATCTACCACCACATCCTACCCTTACAAGTTTATTTTTATTTTTATTTTGGGTTTTTGAAACAGGGTCTCCCTGTAGCCCCAGGTAACCTGGAACTTAATGTCACTATGTAGGCCAGGCTGGCCTTCATCTCACAGAGATCCACCTGCCTCTGCCTCCTGATTGCTGGGAGAAAAGGTGTGTACCACCATGCCCAGCAACAAGTTAATTTTTACATTGTATTAATCAGCTCTAATAATCAATGACAGTTTCTACTGCTTGAGCACCTACTGCACACTGCCCTGTGCTTACACAGTGCATCTTACTGAAGGTTCAAATCAGCTCCGTGGCATCACTGTTACTGCCTCTCATTTCACAGAAATGAGACACTGAAACCCAAAAAGGTTGTCACTTGTCCACAATCACACATATGGCTATGTCAGTACTTGAACACGTCTGTCTGATGGCAGAGCCTGAGCTCTTGACCACTAAATTGCTCAGTCAAGATTCTTTCTGAGTATAGCTACACTGACCAGAATTACCATAGTGGAGGAACAGAGAAGGGAGCTGAATTAGAAAAGCCAAAATAAGAAAGAACAAAAGGAAACCAGATGTGAAGATCAACGCCTATAATCTCAGCACTGGGAAGGTTAAGGCAAGAGGATCGACAGTTCAAGGCTAGCCTGAACTACATAGAGAGACCCTATCTCAAAGCAACAACAGGGTGGGCAAGATGGCTCAGCAGGCTAAAGGTGCTTGCCACACAAGCCCAGTTACCACACAAGTCCAGTTGCCTCATGGAGGCAAAAGGAGAGAACTGACTGTGCTGGATAGCTTTAGTGTCAACTTGACACACCTGGGTTGAGGGATCCTCAATCGGGGAATTGCTCTATTGGACTGGCCTGTGGCCATGTCTGAAGGGCATCTTCTTGATGAGTGATGTGGGAGGGCCCAGCCCAGTGTAGGTGATGCCACCCCTGGGCAGGTGGGCCTATGTTGTATAAGAAAGTAGGCTGAACAGGGGCCAAGGGAGCAAGCCAGTAAGCAGCATTCCTCCATGGCCTGTGCTCCAGCTCCTGCCTCCAGGTTCCTGCCCTGAGTTCCTACCTTGGGCTCCCTGATGAACTGTGACTCAGAGACGTAAGATAAATAAACCCTTTGCTCCCCAAGTTGGTAGTGGTCAGAGTGTTTTGTCACAGCAATGAAGGACAAACCAGAACAGAAATTGGTACCAGAGAGTGGGATATTGCTATGACAGACCTGACCTTTGTGCTTTTAGAGGACTGTAGAAGTGTTTGGAACTTTGGGCTGGAAAAGCCATTGCGTGCTCAGAGTTTGTTGCTGTGGAGCTTGGAACAGTTATGCTGAAAGAGTTGTAAATAATGGAGGCCTGGCTATCAGGGCTATTCGTGTGAGATTTTAGATTGAGAATCTGTGGGTTCTGGTCAGCTGGGGCTGAAGAATCAGCTGTGATTAAGAAGAGACCAGAACCTGAAGTAAAACCTTTGCTTTACTGGGACAATTGATGCTGGGTAGCTGGGGCTGAAAAATCAGCTGTAAGTAACAAGAGACCAACATCACTGTGATGGAGTCTTCTGGGAGGTATTTCCTCAGGGTCAGCACACAGAGGGGACCCGCACCTCTAGTTCAAGCTGGAAACAGGACTTGGTAATGTGTAAGAGTCTCCTGCATGGTTCTGGTGTTGAAAGCGTGAAGGGGTCACAGAGAGCAGCTGAAGCTTGGCACTCTGAGAGGCCAGGAAAGGCCATAGGTGAAAGTGCAGCTTCAGTT